GCCATTGCTTTGCTATCTTAGATGAATATTAGTATCTAGCATTGTAATCACTTCCTTCATTGTAGGTTAATATCTCATATAAGGTATTCTTTACAAATAGGTAATTTTTAATAATTTTGTCTTAAAAAGTTCAAGAATGGAATAGTAAAAAGCAAACGTGATTAGACTTGGTGATCCAATCCTGAATCTGCCACAGACTAGTAAACTATGTTTGAAGAAGATACTTACTAGTTTAAAAATAAAAACAGTTTAAAAAGGATAACAAACTGATGGGCAAAATCTAATATTCTCTGGTTAGAGATTTATATTGTGTGTATGTATTTTTTTAAGTAAAAGGTGGACATCTAAATTGGTCAGATTTGGTATATTTTGTTGGATATTGGCTTTTGACTTAAGAATTATTTTTGTTTTCATTACTAAGTAAGAACCATTTTTTTTGTTTTTGGTAATGTTGCTGTTGTTTTTAAGTGCTGTCCAATCGGTTCCAACTCATAGTAACCCTGGATAGGATTTCTGAGGAGCGGCTAGTCAATTTGAACCCCTGACCTTGTGGTTCAAACCAATTTTGGGGTTGAGTGCTTATCCTACAGCTCCACACAGCCAAAAATATTGGTCTTTGAAATGAAAAGACCATCCTTATGTATTAAAACCATTATGCAAATATGTATTTTATGCAACATCTTTAGATGTTTTGTTTAATGCATTGAAGTAAGTTTATTTTAGAAGAAGTATAAGCTACATGAAGAATGATTTTACTCATATATTTACTATAGTAATGGACATTAAAATATATTGATATAATGCAGTTTAACTTTTCTGACCTCCTTTTCGCCCTCTCTCAAAAATGTTAAAAGTAGCATCAGCACACAAAACCAGAAATTCTGTAGTAAAACAATCAGTGATTCTCAAAGTTTATTGTCTGTACCAAAAAAACAAAACAAAACAAAAAACTAGAATATAAACTATAAAATTGTATATGTGATTGCATATTTGGGAGTAAAATTCTCTACTAGCGTCTAATAGGACACAGAATTGGACATTGTTAAATATGTACTACATTGTGAAAATTCCATTTATTCAGTGATATGGAAAGATACTGAGTATTTCCTTTTCAACATTAATTTCTGGTATACAGAAATTAGAAACAAGCTAAAATACATTTGTTCCAAATAATTAAAGCAGCATTATCAGGAAATTTAAGATATAGGTTAGAGTAGAGCAATCTATTTTGAAGACATTTTAGAAGACGTTTTGAAAGGTATTCTGTTCTATTTATGTTTTTTGTATCCCAAACCAGAAAGCAGTGACATGCATTGCTTCTTGATCATCAATTCTTAAAACTGAGTTTAATTTAAAAGCTATTTATAATGGTGGTATATGCCCTATGTGGTTCCAATTCTCTGATTCTGGT